GTAATGGTTCGGGCCAGTCAATGCCTCCCACAGTGAGCAAATTCAGTTTGTTTAGAAGATTAACTTATACAGGGCTCATTGCAAAGCCAGGTGTCAACTCATAAAATATTTCTATGGTCTTTTTAGAGTTGCCAACAGAAAGGGAGGGGGGAAATGGGGTTGAAAGAGCAGTGCGGCAGCTTGGAAATCAAAAGTGCATTCCATACATAGTTTTTCAAAGATAGTAACTAGGTAACCGAAGTTTCTACTCCACAAATATCTAACTGGAGAGCATGATTGATGACTCTGGGCTATGGATGTGTTCCATTGGAGAATATGAATTATGAATTATGATATATTCAGGGGGTGGAGGGAAAACCAGGGTCAGGGGTGACAATGAATGATGTGTCTCAGAGTCAGCTACACCCAGGCAGTGCCGGACATGTTAACTCCCAATAAATCCTTTGAAGTTTTGGAAGTTTGGCTCAAGACTCATGATTTAAATAGGGGTAACTGCCGGAATCCTGACACCAGGAGGATCAAAGTTTGGGCATTTCAAATGATGGAAACACATAAACTGGAAATCACATCACATGCTCTTTGTGATATTTAGAGGAGATCCAGCAAGGAGGTCAACAACCCATTAACAATTTTTGAAACCCCCACTTTCTTTGTTCAATCAGCTGAAACCGCAATGCTAGTTTTTAGCAAGGGGTTAACTTCTGAAACCCTTGCATTTTTTTCTTCACCAGCTCCTACTCACCTGAATCCATCTTTGCAGACAGAACATTTGTCCATCTCTCCAAAGCATTTCTTACAGTTTTGATGACACTTCTGGCAACGCCTTTGACCTTTTCAGGGTAGGGAGAAGAGGCCAGAGTGAAAAGAAATTCCAGCAATTATGAATGCATAATTGCAGATTTAACATTTATGACTTACAGCGTATTTAACAGCAAGTTAAACTGACACTGAACAATAATGGTACTTTTAAAAAAAAATTAGACTGGATGACAGAAGTAATTAACTATTCATTTCAACTTAAAATATATCACTTCCTAGACCTTTTCAATTTGGAGAAATTCTAAACTTTAAGCAAAGAATGTCTTAAATATTCAAAACCCAGGTCAATTAATTTAAAGTGCTGGTTTTAAAACCACTGGTGTTTTTTCAGATTTTATTGCAAAGTTGTCAACTCATAAAATATTTCTATGGTCTTTTTAGAGTTGCCAACAGAAAGGGAAGGGGAAAAGGGGTTTGAAAGAGCAGAGAGGCAGCTTTGAAATCAAAAGTGCATTCCATAAGTAGTTTCAAAGATAGTAACTAGGTGACTGAAGTTACTGCCCTGCAAATATCTAACTGGAGACCATGATTGATGACTCTTGGCTATGGATGTGTCTCATTGGAGAATATGAATTATGGTATACCCAGGGGGTGGGGGAAAATCAGGGTCAAGGGTGACAAAGAATGATGTGTCTCAGAGTCGGCTACAGCCAGGCAGTGCCGGACATGTTAACTCCCAATAAATCCTTTTGAAGTTTTGGAAGTTTGGCTCAAGACTCATCATTTAATTGGGGTAACTGCCGGAATCCTGACAAAAGTGTCAGAAACATTCCTCATCCCATCTCAGATTGGCGGGAGATTAAATCAATGTCTTGATTAATAAGGTTAAACAGTACTTTTGATCTGAATCCAGCATGTTTCTCCCCATCATGCAAGGACACGGATAGTGGATCTCTTTATAACTCTTTAAAGCAGCTGCATCTTTTCTCAGAAATACACTTTAAAAAGCTGCATATAGATATTATTGTCAATCTGCAACCAATCGTTTTGGAGCCAAATCTGTAGTACTACTCAATCCCATTAATTAAATTAGTTTAGTTGCATCATTTGGAAGTCTTCATTTGCAATTAGAAATATCATTTATTTAAATGCTGGGTTTAGTAATGTAATCCTGCAGCGTGTCAATCAACCAACCATAGCCATCCTTGATCAGTCCCCAGATCTCCCATTTTAATCAGTGAGGAACAACTGTGGGAGGAGAAATTGTCCATGTTAACACAACAGGTTAGCTAAAACATACTTCTGCAACAATATGTGTATTTCTCCAAATGCTATCAGAGCACTTTGCCTGTCCAAATTGTACAGGCCTTAGGGAAAATTGATTCCAAAGGCACTAAATAAATAAAAACTGCCCTTTGTGCTAGAAGAAAAAAAAAGGAAACCAACATAAATGCGAAGCAAAATTAGTTTCAGCTAGGAAAAGGGAAACATGTCACAAAACCTCAAAAAAGAAGCACCTTTTCCAGCAATGTGTTTTATTAAAAGGCATCAGCTGAGGAAATAAGGGACGGCTTAATTTATCAAATGCATGAAATAGCTAGACAGGTGTAAGATTTACATTGGGGTGAGCCAGGGCACAAGGTGGAAGGAGAGGAAGACAGATTGATAATGCAGATACTTATTTATATCCCCCTTTACCATTTTTATATATAATTCAAGATGGTGAAGATACTTAATTCTCCTCCCTCCTCTTATTTTCCCTGCAACAAGAACTCTGTGAGGTGAGTTGGGCTGAGAGAGAGGAACTGGCCCTTAGTCACCAAACCGTGACTAAGGTGGGACTTTTTTGTGCATAAGGTGGGACTGGAACTCACAAGTCTGCTGGTGATTGGGCTAAGCCAGCTTTCAAGTCTATGGCGGGAGTAGAACTCACCGTCACCTGGTGATTGGCCCAAAGTCATCCAACTGACTTCAATGCCTAAGGCAGCACTAGAACTCAGTCTCCAAGTTTCTGTCCTGTGCTTTAACCAGTAGACCAAACAGTACAATATAGGTTACATATGCATAACCAACCTGTCTGCTTGTCTATCTATCCATGCATGCATGCATGCATCCAACCATCCATCCATCCATCTGTCCATCCACCCATCCATTTATCCCGTATCTCATCCCAATGTAAATCCTACATCAATCTAGCTACTCCATGCATCTGGCTAAATGAAATTTAGCTCATGAAAGCTTATGCCTTTTTTAAAAAAATGTTACTTGGAAAAGGCACTACCAGGCTTCTAATGTTTTGTCTCCACAGACTGACATGGTTCCCCTTCTACAATGTAACAAAACCAAAGCTGATTGATTTTGCCCTCCCTAAGCAGGACAACAGTCAATTAGTGAAACTACCGATTGAGTGCAAACATTAAAGGTTTTAGAAGCTATTTCATTTTCAAGAAGGATGAAAACAAAACTGGTTCTTAAAGCCAAAGTTGCTACAAAGACTACATGCTTCTATTTAATGTGCTGGAAAGTCTTATGCTTTTCCTTCAATTTTATGAGAGCTTCGGGGGTAGCTTTGGCAATCTGAAAAATGTGAAATCAATTAAAAGACAAATTATTTGATTTAAAACTATTACGGTTCTTAGTTAATGTGTTTTTATATTGCTGCTTAATGACGGTAACTCCAGAATTGTTTTGCAAGAGACCAAACTAGAGTACACTAAGATGAATACAATTAAAAATACATAAAAATAATTGGGACAGAGGGAAGGAGGGAGGGAGGGAGGAAAGAAGGAAGGAAGGAAGGAAGGAAGGAAGGAAGGAAGGAAGGAAGGAAGGAAGGAAGGAAGGAAGGAAGGAAGGAAAATAGAGACAATACAGGGATCATTCATGCCATCTTCATGAAAAGGAACCTAAAACTATTATAATAAGAGAGAAACCATTGCAGATTGTACTGTGGATGCCCCTCAGAGAAGGAAAAAAAACCCACATTTTCACCCATCAGTGAGTGCTGGCATTCCCCTTTCTTACCATCCTCAGAGTAAAACCCAGCTGGACACAGCATCACACAAGTGTTTGTCTCTTGGTGGTGATAATAACCGCGCTTGCAGGCTGTGCATGAGTTCTGGCTTCGGTCCAAACATGCTTCGCAGCCCCTGTGACACCTGCGGCACTTACGTTGCAGGCTGTCCTCAAAGTAGCCAGGAGGGCAGGAGTTCACGCACTTCCTGGAAAAAGTCCACAAATGTTCCAGATTAGACCAAAGGATGAGCCACGATGGCAAGAGCTGCCAAAGAAGAACAGCAGCAAAGTAGCTCGCATAGATCATTTCCATCCTAAATATTAACTCCCTTTCTCGGATAGATCTTGGACCAAAGATCCACAACCTGATGTCCTCCAGATGTTGTTGGATTAGCTCCATGTTTGACTCCAGGGCCTGGAAATTATGTGAGTTGTAGTTTGACCCACCTGGTGAACATCAAGTTGGGGAAATCGGCCTTAGAAGGGTGGAGTTAGAAAGGAGAAGTCGGAGAACCTTAGTGTAGCTTTTTCTATCAGTCTGCTTCCTCCTCAGGGTCAGCCCCACATTCAGGGAGGAAGAGGAAGCTACTGATGTTTAAAAAAATGGTAAGAAATTGTCTGGTGGTCATGTTAACTATGAAAAATCTGAGGATAATAATAGCCACAGTGTACTTGGAGGATAGGTGGGGAATGAGTGACATACAGCGTGTTGCTAGTTTAGAAATGTGGAATTAACCACACAAAATACATCAAACCCTCTGTGATGACCTGGGGCATGGCAAAAAGGCAACACAGTCAGATAAACAATAAGAGTCCCTTTATTATCTCTAACTTTGCCCCCAATGTCCAGGTTACCTTCTGGCTGGAGAAAAACTCTCCCAGGAACAGCCTTTGACTGCAGAAAATTAAGTCCAAAACATGAGCAACACAAACTGTAACTTAAAGTTCAAACAAGCCAAACTGAAGTAATTAGTTTGGCAGGGCAGGTGCAAGAATCTCAGGCTTGAAAGCATGGCAAAACTCACTTTTGGGAAGATGCCAGGAACACAGATAAGCCATGACAACACTGGATAAAGTCACATTTGCTCCCAACAGCCAGCCGCATGCACCCTGCCTTTCTTATCAACTGTCTTCCCAGCTGTGGCTAATAAAGGGAATCAGGGCCCTTTCCTCCCCCATAAGCCATGCAACCCACGTTGTTCTCTTCTCCATTCTTCACTCCATGACCTAGGATGAAGAGGGGGTGGGCCTGGTTCTTCCTCTGAACTCCCTCTCCCTTGTTCTACCTCTCCGCTGCTCTGCCCAGCTGGACTTTGCCCTTCCCTAGCCTCCTCCACAGCCAATGGAACCATACTCCCACTCCCTGTCAGCTGTCCAGCTTCCTCCTTGGATTCAGACTCTGACAGGGGCATGACACCCTCTTTGTGACTTATCCCTCACCAGCAACCCCCATCTTTTTTTTTCCTGGCTTTTTCCTGCTGATTACCTGCCAGTTTTAATACTTCCAAGGCTGTAGTGGAAACAGTTCAGGCACTGATCGGCATTGGGACCATCGCATCCTTGGTCGCCACATTCCCTATGACACAGACCTTAGGGAGACAGACAGATCTGTTGAAAGAAGAGATATAAAACTCTTCCTAGTTCAACCTACACAATGGCATCCAGCACTTGGTCTATCAACGTACCCATATATCTGGATATCTAGTCTTGATGCCCCCTTGCCCCAAAAACCTGTTGCTTGATTAGTTTGCTTGATCCTACCTAATGATAGTGGCAACTGGACTGTATGCCAATGCCAATAAAGGAGAAGAGCTGTGGTGGCACAGTGGTTAGAATGCAGTACTGCAGGATACTTCTGCTGACAGCCGGCTGCCTGTAATTTGGCAGATCTCACCAGGCTCAAGGTGAACTCAACCTTCCATCCTTCTGAGATCGGTAAAATGAGGACCCAAAATTGTTGGGGGCAAGAGGCTGACTCTGTAAACTGCTTAGAGAGGGCTGTAAAGCAGTATAGAAGCCTAAGGGCTATTGCTATATTTGCAGTGGTTCAAATGAGGTGTTCTTGGTGCTCACTTTGAGTTTGGATTTTTACTTCCAGACATTTCCTTACCAAACTAGGTAACATCATCAGTGCTAGAAGGAGTGGAGATTGCACTGATGATGTTGCCTAGTTTGAGTCATGAAATGTCTGCAAAAAAACAACCAAGCTGAGAGACCACCAAGGACCTCCTTTATATGCTAATATGTTTTATCACAGCTACAACTTTGGTTAACTTTTTATTGACTTGGGACTTGCAAAATAACTTTGATAAAAGAGCACAAAGTTATGTGAACCCGTGTTAAGTTTTGATCAATATCCTGTGTTCTAATAGCATGACTGTATGGTAACTATTAGGTTCTGTGTGCAACGTTTCTGACTCCCAATGTAGACAAATTTTCCTGTGAGTCAACAGCGTAGACAATTCAGGATTAGTGAATAAGGTTATTGTTGTTGTTTTACTATGGGGTCTATTCCTGCCCTTTGGAAAATCTGTTGCAGGTTCAGCTCCCTGATCCTTTCTTCTGCATTTCAAAGCTATTCTTTTTGAGGCAACAAGACTGTTTGTGTACTCCACAGCTTTTCTATCCTGCATTCTCTCCACTCACCTACTGTTCTAGATGGAAAGAAAGATCCATAGCAATCTTTCCGTATGGAAGTTAGACAGAGCACTTCTCTCAGTGTGAAATGGGGCAAGCAGGAATCTTATCTTTGGTAAGCAATAAAATTTATCTTCGGCTGATCCAAGGATAAGAGTGGCTTACTCTGTTTGATGCTTGGTATCATCGTTGCCATTGACATCATCAACTCTGGATAAACCGGTGTCTTGTGTTTTATAGGATCTATTTATCTAAGTGGATCTACTGCAAAGACCTGAAGAAAGATCTTTTTTTGTGGTAATAAGGCAGCTCGGTGAAATTTTACTGCCTGAGTTCCCAGTCATTGTTCAGCCCATCAGTGTCTAAGGATGGATGAGGGACTCTCTAAAAGAAGTTAATCAAAATCTGTCTGATAGGACATGGTAGGACACCATTAGGAAATACTAAAATATTAAATTGGGAATAATGAAATCATTTTTTAAAAAAATCCCAGAAAAAAAATTGAACCACTTCTTCGTTATTGCTAAGAAAACAATTTGGATGTGTCCATGGGGTTCTACAGACAGAATAGGACCACTTGTTGTGGCCAACTTGCCCCAGCCAACATGCCTTGGCCAACTTATCACAGGATGACTCACTGAAGGATAATTCAACAATTCAATTTAATTAATTAAAATAATTTTAATTTTTGTCATTCACATTTCATTTCACTTCCTTTGGCAGCCTGATTCTATTCCACCATTTCTTGATAGTGTAACACTTGTCCCATGGTGAATTGGCCTTGGCAAGTTGCCCCATGTTGAGTTGGCTGCGATGAGATGGCCATGGCAAGTTGGCTATGGCAAGTTGTCCTAGATTCTCTGCAGACTTGAGCTAAACCTGAAGAATTAGCTTTTGAGAATCTTCTTAGCAAGCTGATGTTCTAGACTGGAGCTAGTTCCACACCTGAACTGCATGGCTGCCTCAGACAATTCTAGTGAGTTTTTCTATAGAAGAACTCAATTCTACACAGGAGACAGTTTGACAGACCAACCATTCCATTGAAAAACCAAGCATCTGCCTCTGATAACCATTACATATAAGGGTTAGCAAGAAGAGAGACCGTGTTTCTTAGAAATTACTGTCTCCAAGTTTCCCCTTGGAACAACATGAAAAATGCCAATGCATTTTTTGGGGGGTGGGGATGTTTCCCCTCTCTTTTTGCAGGATTAGGATTTTGTCAACATACTAGCAGGCTTGTGTGTTTAGTGCTAGATTGGGCACAACTCACACAGAGACAGGGACTAAATTTTCAGAAGACCTTAATTACTTTGGCCCCATCATGTGTCGTCAAAATAATGACTTTTTACATTAGACACAATTTTATTTCCCAACAGTTGTAGTTTGATCAAAGCTTGCTGGAAAGAAAAAGGAAAATAGCGTGCTTTGTGTAAAAATGAAGGACATTGGGGTTTTTTAAATTGCTGTCTCTACTCATCTGAACAAGGCAGCCACCAGGAGACACAAGATGTATTGTGGGCTGCACAGTTCCATTCTCTAACTATTGGAAATCAACTTCAGATGTTTCCATAATTCAAAACGTCCTTCCCATTCCTTTACAAGCCTAACAGTGCGAGCCCTCACAATACCTTGTTCTTTAAATGAAAACCAAGATTCTTGGAAATCTGAAAGAGACCTCATTTTATCCAAATTTGTATTTGTGGTCCCAGGGAAGAAAGGGAATGCCCTGGTGCTAGTTTTCATTATTTTGTAAGAGAAACAACTTATTGGAAATTTATAGAAGAGCATTTCTAAGCTTAGCTTTGTGGGTGATTGGGCAATCCTGAAATAAACATTCTTGGTGTTCCTAGACCGCAAACTGCCCTGTTCTGGTTTTTCAAAGAAATGAAACCACGGATGGCTCCTTGTGCACAAAATAGAATAAAATACAGCTGGAAGAGACCTTGGAGGTCTTCTAGTCCAGCCCCTTGCTCAAACAAGAGAACGATACTACTTCAGATAAGTGATTGTCTAGTCTCTTCTTTAAAAACCCCAGTGATGGAGCACCCATGATTTCTTGGAGGGAAGCTGTTCCACTAGTTGATTGTCCTCACTGTTAGGAAGTTTCTCCTTAATTCCAGGTTACTCTTTGGTTAGTTTCCAACCATTGTTTCTTGTCCTGCCCTCTGGTGCTTTGGAGAATAATTTGACCCCCTCTTCTTTGTGGCAGCCCCTCCAATACTGGAATACTGCTATCATGTCACCCCTAGTCCTTCTTTTCTTTAGACTAGCCAAACCCAAATCCTGCAGCCATTCTTCATGTGTTTTAGTCTCCAGGCTTTTGATCATCTTAGTTGTTCTTCTCTGAAGCAGACCTAGACAGAAGAAATAAATGGTTTGGGGCATTTTACCTGTATATTCATCTTCCTCCTCAGGGATCTCCATCTGATTTTGGAAGAAAGCAACTTTTGAAGGCTCCATTTCCAAAGAAATTGTTGACCTAAAGTACTGAGTGCTGATATTAGAGGAAGGGTGCTCAGCAGTTCCATATAAAATGAGGCTCCATTCTTTTAACTTCCCTAGGAAAGATTAAACGTTAATATTATTTTCCTCAATGAGTGGTAATTTTAGTTAAGAGGTTCTCCGTGTTAATGAATGAATAACCCATTTAAAAAGGTGCAAATATAGAGGTTAGAATGACAGAATAAGAAAGTTGGAAGGGACCATGGAGGTCTCCCAGTCCAACCCCCGGCTCAAACAGGAAACTCTATACCATTTCAGATAAATGGTTGTCCAGTCTCTTTTTAAAAACCTCCAGCACCCACAATTTCTGGAGGCAAGCTGTTCCACTGGTTAACTGTTCTCACTGTCAAGAAATTTCTCCTTAATTCTGGTTCTCTCCTTTATGAGTTTCCATTAGTCCTTATCCAGTGGTGGGATTCAAATTTTCTTACTACTGGTTCTGTGGGCGTGGCGGGGGAAGGATACTGTAAAATCTCCAGTCAGAGGTGGTATTTGCCAGCTCTCTAAACTACTCAAAATTTCTGCTACCAGTTCTCCACAACTGGTCAGAACCTGCTGAATACCACCTCTGTCCTTATCCTGCCCTCAGATACTTTGGAAAATACGTTGACCCGCTGTTCTCTATGACAGTCTTTTAATGCAAATGTTTCAGTGTATGCATAAGGATTAGTCAACAAGTTCTCTAATATTTATTAAAGTCCACCTTTAGAGCTTTCCTGGAACACTGGGGATGCTTTACTACAGGTAGTCCTGGACCTACAACCATTCTTTTAGCGACTTAATGAAAAAAAGTGATTTACAACCAAAGTACACACACATTCTGTACTTCAGAAAAGGGGCTGTTTGGAGAGCAGTTCTCTTCAGCAAATAACATGGGCTGATGGTTAAGAAATCTGTGACACTAACAGCTGTCGAAAGGGTCACTGTAGGGAAAGAAAACAAGTCAGCTGGGATGTGACAAGGGGGGGTATTTCCATTGACACCATACAAATACATGGGTTCTTACAAGTGAGCTGCCTGCATCAGAGCTGTGGTATTTGGAATTCCAGGAGATATAATCCCATGGGCTTTGTAAGATATCAGATTGGGAAAGGCTGAGAAATTTATGCTCTTCAAAAGCCTCTGGGGCTCAGCGCAGCTTTTGCCCCGTTCCTCAATCTACTTCACTTTGTTGGTTTACACTTCTAGCTATTTGAATGAATCTACTCCACTGGCAAACTGTTCTGGATTTCAACTCCTTTGGTACCACCGCAAAACCCTGGCATAGTCTGAGTGAGGTTAAGGGCAATGACACCATTTAATGTCCACTGCCAAGGCCAGGAAGACCAGAAACAATTAAAAAGAAAAAGAAAGGAAGAAATCTGACATTTCCATATAGCTTTTTTCTTTCTTTTTTTTTTGGATCTGCATGTCAGCACAAATTAGTTTGATGTTTTCTAATGGAATTTGTATCAGATATTTCTGTTGCTTTTTAGCCTCCTGTAAAGACAGGGGGTAGGGGGTAGGGGGTGGGTGGGAAACAGTTCTGAATTTATGGTTCTGTTAGGGAAAAAGACCAGAGACCAAAAATTCAGGCAGAAATAAGACTCCAAGGAGCAATGAGGCCTTCTTCTCAAACACCAATTCATCACCAGTCATTAATGTCACTCTCAGAAAGACTGCAAGCTATAATAAAGGACAGGGACACAGCAGACATACATCATTTGCTTTGATAAATACAGTGTCTGTCCAGTACACAAATGCATTTTTAAAATGTGCCAGAAAAGAAACTTCTTTTCTTTGTTGAGTTCCAAGAAGCCAACCAATTTGAGGATAGCAGGGGAAAGGTTTTTAAGGTGACAGCTTTATTTATTTATTTATTTATTTTTGTCAATTGCTTACAAGATAATAGCTACAAGTAAAAACATAGTTAATACATGGATACATATAAGAAAAATAAAAAAGATAAAAGAAACAATAGGACAGGGACGGTAGGCACATTGGTGCGCTTATTCACACCCCCTACAGACCTCTTAGGAAAGGGGTGAGGTCAATAATAAACAGTCTAAGGTTAAAGTTTTGGGGGTTTGGGGAAGAAACCACAGAGTCAGGTAGAGTATTCCAGACATTGACCACTCTGTTGCTGAAGTCGTATTTCCTGCAATCAAGTTTGGTACGATTAACCTTGAGTTTGTATCTATTGTTTGCTCTTGTGTTGTTATGGTTGAAGCTGAAGTATTCATTGACAGGTAGGACACTGCAATGTATAATTTTATATACTATACTTAGATCGGACCGACGGCGGCGTAGTTCTAGGTTTTCTAGGTCTAGAATTTCGAGTCTGTTGGCATAAGGTATTCTGCAATGAGTAGAGGAGTAGAGAACTCTTCTTCTGAAATATTTCTGGACTTTCTCAACTGTATTAATATCAGATACATAATGTGGGTTTCAGACTGATGAGCTGTATTCAAGTATTGGTCTAGCAAATGTTTTGTATGCCCTAGTTATTAGTGTAATATTACCAGAGAAAAAGCTACGTAAGATTAGGTTAACAACTCTTAATGCCTTTTTGGCTATGTAGTTACAGTGGGCTCTAGCACTTAGATTATTAGAGATGAGTACTCCAAGATCCTTGACAGAGTTTGGATCATCAACAACGTCTTGACTATTCAGCCTGTATTTTATTTTCTGGGTTTTTTTGCCAATATGTAAGGCAGAGCATTTATTTGTTGAGATTTGAAGTTGCCATTTGTTTGACCATTCTGATACATAGTCAAGGTCTTTTTGAAGGGTAGCAGTATTGTCTGTGGTGTTGAATAGCTTTACATCATCAGCGAAGAGAACGCAGTTGCTCTTAATATGATCACAGAGGTCATTTATGTAGAGTATGAAGTGGGTTGGTCCTAGAATACTGCCTTGGGGGACACCACTGTTGACAGGTACAGAATTTGATAGGACGCTCCCAATTTTGACCATTTGTTGTCTGTTTGATAGGAATGCTTCTATCCAGTTATGCAGGTGTCCAGAGATACCCTAAGATTTTAGTTTTAGGAGTAGTTTGTTGTGTACCACTGAATCAAAGGATTCAGATGTCACTATCACCAAGGAATCTTGCAAACCAGGGAAGAAGCAAGCATTCCTCCTTGCTTCTTGATAATTGCTCCTTATGGACACTAATGTAGAGCCAAGAATCTGTTGAGCATCATGAGAAAAGAAAGGTAAAGGCTTCCCCTGTCCAGTCATGTCTGATTCTACAGGGCTGTGTTCATCTTCTTTTCTTAGCCGAGGGAACCAGTGTTGTCTGAAGACACTTCTTTGGTCATGTGGCCAGCATGGCTATATGCCGAGGTGCACAGAATGCTGTCACCTTCCCACCAAGGTGGTACCTATTTATCTATTTGCATTTACATGCTTTTGAACAGCTAGGTGGGCAGGAGCTGAGGCTAATGGGAGCTCACCCTGTTGCACGGTGCTTGGGTTTCAAACCCAGTCTGTCACCTTTCCAGGCGATAATCTCAGCATCTTTAACCACTGAGCCATCACGTTCCCCTATGATGACTGAGAACTTCTCATGAGAATAAAAATCCATTCATGAGAATTCTCTCTTCTCTCCCTTTCTTCATGATGAGAATTTTCGCTCAGTTATCCATCAAATGACTCACTGAACCAGTTCAACAAAAATATAGTTAGGCGTTTGTGTTTGACAATCTCCATGGAAACTCTCTATTTGTTATAGTGTAGTAGTCCTTCCTGGAATCCGGACACCTCCTCTTGTCTTAAAAAAAAAAAACAACCAAGTGCAAATCAACATGGAACCAAGAAGAAATGGATTTCTTAGGAATCAGCTTGTAACTAACCTTTGGAAGCAATCGGCAGAAATCTTGGTATATATTAAGCATGGAAGACAGTCAGAATTATGACTTGGCAGCAGGAATTGAAATGTGGTTGGTTTAGTTTCAGCTTAACGGAGCATGACTCTAGCCACTGCAGAGCACAAACCACAATTTATGGCCAAGAGTGCCATGTAAGCACAGTCAATTGCAGCTCAGTTAGTCGGCTGTGGTTGTACAAGTTGGCAAAGTGTGAATCCAGCCACTGTAAAAAGCTGCAAGTACTTTTACACACTTACCTTGTACATCTGGGTTGCGAACATGATAGGGTTTATCCTGGATTTCCAGTGTCCATTCTCCAGCTGCCCTTTCACCCCAGCAATGGACAGTCATGAATTCCCAGTGTTTGAAGCCTTCATTAGAGTCATCATGCTGTCTGTTAACAAGATACCAGCATCAAGAGTTCATTTTCACACTGATTGATCAAACCGCAGAATTGGTGTGTGTGTGTGTGTGTGTGTGCATATATGCTTACAGCATCCAAGTCAATCATTTTGTTATAGGTGGAATCAGCATTTCAAGGAGATGGGGCTGGTTTCATGGTTTAGGGAGAAGGTTGGGGTTTACTTCGTGCTTTAAAATAAAAGTTATGCACTTCACTATTTTTTTTCCTGGAAGCAGCAAGAACTCTGTCCCCATTTCTTGGCATTTGTTTATAAGATTAATCAGGGATAGTTTCCAGGGAGAAAGGGAAGGGGAGGGGAGGAGAGGAGAGGAGAGGAAGGAAAGGGGGAAGAAAGGAGAGATGGAGGAAAGGAAAGGAAAGAAGGAGAGGAAAGGAAAGGAAGGAAAGGGGAGAAAAGGAAAGGGAAGGGAAGGGAAGGAAAGGAAAGGAAAGGAAAGGAAAGGAAAGGAAAGGAAAGGAAAGGGAAGGGAAGGGAAGGGAAGGAAAGGGAAGGAAAGGGAAGGGAAGGGAGGAAAGGACAGGAAATGGGGAGGGAGGAAAGGACAGGAAAGGGGGGTGAAAAGAAAGGAAAACAAGGAAAGGGGAGGAAAGGGAAGAGAGGGGAGAGGCATGTCAGGACTACATTCATCTGGCCACCTCTTGGGCCTTCCTAACACTAAGAAATAGCTATCATGTCTACATTTTAACACAATTGTCCTCATGAAACTCTATGTGGTTAGGCTTATGTGCTGTACACAAGAAGCTTAATCATAATGAAAGATCCAGTCAACCATATTTCAATGAATCATCTCCTCATTTCTTTAATTTCCAATGGTATCTACCTATGCCCGAAACTATCACCTGAAGCTTAAGGGCCATTAAACTGATAAAGTCAAGCTGGAAATAAATTTTGGATTTCTCTCTCATAAGGATATTCCTTATCCGTGTGAATTTCAACGCCTGTCTTGAATCACATTTGAGCAATTAAATTAGTTACCCCCTGTTATGACAAGTGATATTTATGGGTACAATACATTAAAACAACACCAGTTTGCTAGACTTTTGCTTTTAAAAGACAATTCAGGGAAAAAAAATATCAGTGGGTTGGAAGAAATCACAAACAAGTCAACAGTGTAAACTTCCCAGGATTTAGAGTATTGGACAGTAAATATAATAAAATATAAATGAAACCGTTCTCTGATAACTGGTTCAAGAAATATCTGTATCCTTGCCGTAGCAAACCTACCAACTAGCTGTTATATAGGTATTATTATATTTATAATCTAACCAACTGCAGCCCTTCAAAGACCACTTTTGTATTCTGATAGCAAGAAATAGTCTGAAATAATTTTCCAGGTTGAGACCTACACTAGAAATGCATTTGCAAAAGTTGAGTCTCCATGGTTCAAATTTTAATTCATTTTAACAAAGCAGAAAATGTAAAAGTATATTTAAAAGGTAAAGGTAAAATAATGAGGAGGAAAGGGGAAAGAGAGAAAAGTTTAGGGTAGAAGTGGGGCAGGGGGGAAGCATTGACTTCTGACACCTTCTGGTGCAGTAGAATAAAGTAATAAGATAAAACCTCAACCTTTTTTTTACTTTCCTATATCTCCAGAGGAAAATGACACAAAAATCCAAATCACAAGGTCTGAGTGTTAAATTTTAAAGCAGGAAATTCATATCCAGAATGTGAAGTTTAAAATGACCCATTTGGCACCCGCCCATCTCATCCAACCAAACGACAAGCACGGTTTGTCCCAGAATGATGAACAAACACTTGTCATCAAAATTTGCAACCGACAAAGTGAGCCGCAAAAAGAGATAAGCATTTCCATTTTAATGCACGTGCATGTTGCTGCTACCAGCTTTTCTCCGCTGGTTCTTGCCAAGGCGCTGCCCCAAATGCGTTAACTTCGCTTTGCTTCAGCTCCGCTGCTGCCCAATGATTTGTGTCCAAAGGGCCCTGCTGCTTTGAGGATCAGCCAACCCTGACTTGGCTGGGCAAACGGTACCCACCTTTTCAAAAAGGATGCTTAAGACCTCTTGCTCATGTTCACAGCAATTGAAACTGTATATTTCATTTCTCTGATGAAAGAGAAATGAAGGAGGAAGGATTTTATTCTCTATAACCACTGGATCTCTGATTTTCAAAACACCAAGTAGGAATATGAAAATGGAACAGTAACAGATGAAAGGGTGGTTATAAAGATATAATTATGCAAAAAGCTCATGGGTTGAAGGAGACCAATAATCAGAGGTTCCATAAAATGTGCTGGCAAGCTACGAGCACACTTTTCAGCTGGCCGGGTCCCTATGCATGGCTAAGCCATAAAGTGGCTTGTTTCTTTATGGTTTAGCATGAAAGGAGAACCTATTCATTACATCTCCTGTCACCCAAGTCCTCTCATCTTTCTTGGACGTCAAAGAAGAAAAGGCTGCAATACAACTAGAATCCATCCAGGAAAACTACTAGATCAAAGGGTGGAACATAAGAGGAAAAAGAACAGATGGAAGATAAAGTCATTCACCTAAAGCCTTTCTCTCCCTATATCTAAGCTTGAGTCTTCCCACTGGTTATTGCCTCTGGTTATCAGTCGATGGCCAATCCATGTCAAAAAGCAGATACAGATTACAGAATAATAGTCTCAGAAGGGTCTTCTAGTCCTACCCCCTACATTCCTTCTGAGAAACCCTCACAAGTTTGATCCAAGTGAGGTCCAACCTGGAACAAAGGTGCTTGTTACTTAGGGAAACATTCACAGGACACATGTCCTCCTTCCAGATTATTTTCAGCAAGAGGATCATTGCCTTACTGGATCAAAGCCACGTTCTTCAATTCTTCATCTCGCTCACTTGGCTTTTTGGACAGCTCCATTGGTTGCCTCGTGGCAAGATTAGAAACTTGCCTCTCCCTCCCCATCAGCTCCTTGGTGAAACAGCGGGAGCTATCCAAGAATCCCAATTGTGTCAGGATCCCAGTTATGTTGTGGCCGAGATCCGATGCCACTTACCTCCTCGCCAGCAACTGGGACCTGGTTCCCAAAGGAGACGTTAGGTATATTTGTAGATCTCCCCGCCGAGGATGCACAATGGAAATCCGTACGACAACGTGCTCCAAATAGACCACATGATGCTCTGAGTTGTCAGCACAAGCACTGGATAGAGTCATAGTGCGGATTGTTTTATTGGCAGGGATGAACCTGTGTGATTGGAAATAATACAAATAAAGAAATAAAGACAAGCTATCTACCATCATCTCTTAGAAGTGACAGAATCCACACAGGGAAAGAGTTCCCTCAAAAGACATGCAAAAGAACAATTTTCAAGATTAACTCAAATCCATTTCCTCTAGATTCAGATAAATATAAGGTATCATCCATCCCAACCATTTCCAAGTGTACCCAGGGGACCAAACACCCCAATCCTGTTTGTGGCTACCGAGAGTTGTTGTCACTCACTGCAGAACAAATTGAACCAGATTAAACCCAGGGTACGATTTAACACAAGGCAGCATCCAACACTAGTCCTACAACTGTTTTTCATCATTTTCCTTTAGAACAAAGAGACAATCATCAGCATTTTTGAGTTCTCTTTCAAGTGAAGAGTTCTATGCTTTAGGAGGAGGGAGGCATTGATTCTGCTGCATTGCCACCAGCAATAAATCAACTCCTCACTTAAGAATCCAAAACATATTGCTAATGTCTAATTTATGGGGAGAGTTTTGCTCATTGGTTCCAGACTCACTCTGTGGATATGCTTTTGAGCATCTGGTGAAGGTTCCTCTGGAGGATTATGTTACTGGTCTTTTATTTTGGCTTACTCATAAAGGGAGAGTCTATGAAAACCATGACCGGTGATGTCATTTCTTGGAGAGAAAAGGTCTTTGTAAGTGAACTTCAAAACATTACTTGCATGCAGCATGATTTCATGTTCTAAAGGCTGTTCGGTTCAGTTGTCCTCAGTCCACAGCACCGATGCCAAACAGAGAATTAAAGGGCAAAGAATTCAAGGTTTTCTAGGAAAGCCACTTCTACGTTATGGTGGTATTGTCAATATTTGTGCTTAGATATCGTGTTGACTTGCATTGATCAGTTTGTTAAAGAAGAGAGAAGGTTTGTCCTTCCAGACATGCCAAACAAATAATGGCTTAGCTCTTGTGATGGGATGTGCTAAGTTTAGCTATGGTTTATTCGTTAATACTGTTTGCATATCAAGCCAGCCTTCCCCAAATGGACCTAGATCAGATACAGGTAGTCCTGGGCTTATCGCCACAATTGAGCCCCACATTTGCAAATGGAGTTTGATTAGGGGTGTGGCAACAAGCCACATGGGCTCATTCACATACAGAATAAAAGAGGCAGCTTGCAGGCTCTTTTGTCATGTTGAGGGTATGCTGTGGTCTCCGTTTTCAGATTATTGCTATTCAGATTAGCGCTGTTCTCAATAAGGAATTTTGGGTTTTTAATGCTAACTTCATTGATGACTTCATACATCTTAGGACTCCCATCTTCTGTTCTTAGTCTAGAAAGACTCTAGAAAAAGTGCAGAGAAGAGCAACAAAGATGATTAGGGAACAGGAAACTAAAACTTGAAAAGATCGGTTGCTGGAATTGATATGTCTAGTTTAAGGAAAAGAAGGACTAGAGGTGACATGATAGTAGTGTTCCAATATCTAGGGGACTGCCACCAAAAAGAGGGGGTCAAGCTATTCTCCAAAGCACCTGAAGGCAGGACAAGAAGCAATGGATGGAAACTAATCAAGGAGAGAATGAGGAAGAAATTTTCTGACAGTTAGAACAATCAGTCAATGGAACGACTTGCCTCTGGAAGTTGTGGAAGCTCCAACACTGGATGTTTTTTAAGAAGAGACTGGACAACGATTTGTCTGAAATGGTATAGAGTTTCCTGCCTGAGCAGGGGGTTGGACTAGAAGACCTCCAAAATCCCTTCCAATTCTGTTATTCTGTTATGAGCTTTGTAACCATTTCCCCATATGTGCAACACAGCACTATTTTGATGGATTTGGGGTGGGGTGGGGGAATCAAGATACCTTTTAAAAAAATAGCATATGAAAATTAAAAGTATTAGGTTATAAGGAGCAAGGAAAATTAAGACTAACAGTAGGGCAACTATTGTTTCTTAGATCCCATCTGAGATCTTTTACTCTCTGTTTAATCATTAGAGTGATCTTGATGCCTTAGGGATGTCAAGGAATTTCTCATCAAAAGCCAAGCACAAACACAGACATCATTGTTGCCACTGGATGCTAACAGAAATGGGGGAACTGATATCCTTTTAATCAATGCTCCCCAATTGTTTGGAAGACTTTATTCTGTTCCTTAGATGGAATTGAGCAACTGCTAGGCAACAGCAACCAAGCAGCAGCTCAGATCATAAATTGCAGGGAACATTGTGAAAGCCAGGTGAGGGATGGCCTGGACAGACTTCCTTGATCAAAGGAAAGCCAAGTCTTTGCTCATCCTGCAGTCCAAAACTGGTTTCTTCCTGGCTTACTATCAAGTTGCTACATAAGCTGGCAGGAGACCTTTTGTGCTGTTTGGTTCTAGCTGAGCAGCTCCCATGGTCCAAATAAAGATAGAATCTTATGCCAGTAAACTGAACAGCTGAGTAAAGGATAAGCACTCAGTAAGTTAGAGGGCAAAGTGTCTATGGAGATTCTCAGTCATCCAGGTCACAGTTGTCCCAGACATTTTGCTCCTCATCCAAGAAGCTTCTTCAGCTCTGAAGAAGCTTCTTGGATGACAAACGAAACGTCTTCAAAGAAAAACAAGGAAGAACCAATGGCCTCTTGCAAAAAAACCACCTTTGGGATAAGAGGGCAAAGAATGAAGTTGAGGAGCAGGGTCATATAACTGTTGGTCCAGTTATCGTCATAGAGTCTAAATTAAGCCTTATGCCACCTTATTTCCCCAGAGAAGACATCTCTACCCATCTGAGTCCAATCCTCGAAAGAAGATGTCTAAGTAATCAAGGTAGCCAGCACCCCACCCAAATGCCTAAAGGGCATGGGTGGACTGAATCAACAACTGCACAGCTGCACAAATTGGAAGCATTTGAGGAAGGGAAACAATTGTGGAGGGAAAACCTGATGACGAAGAGAACTAATTCGGTCTCCTGATGAACTATGAAACCAAAGGGAAGGTGTGGCACATTACAGATGTCCCAGAGGTTGAAATCTGGGATTTGTTTCCTCCAGTGTCTCCAAAACATCACATGTCAAATCAGAGGTCAGAGGTACACGCTGAACTCATTAATTATTAATACATGGCACAGCATGTGTGTGCATGCGCATATAGTCATATGGCTGCTCTGGGGATACAAATCAATATCAAATATTTAGATGATAAGCACGTATTTTATTTTGGTTTCTTTTCTGCTTTCTATTCCCATGTTAATGTATACCTTGCACCATGCCCCTTTATAAATAAGGAATTGTTATCAAATGTTCACTATCCATTCAGTTTTTCCCCTTTTCCAAGAGGTCATGGTCTTTTCTTACTTGTACATTCACAACACCTCCAGCATGAAGTAGAGTAGGTTTAAAGAGTGAGACTGATTCAAAGTTTCATGGCCACAAAGGCGTACAATAACTATTTCACTGCACTGATTCTAAAACAGGAGGTGGAAGTAATTTATGCAGTTCTGATGCAAAACCGAAGCCCTGTTTAGCTACATCTAATAATTCAACGTTTTCCTTTGTAATGCATCCTCACCCCCAGAACAGGAGAAGAATTGTTTGTACGTGCATGGAATTACGAGCAGAGGCCTAAGTGAATTAACTTTCAGCCATCTCTGGGGCTTCAGAAAAAGTTTTGCAAAGGTTGGTAATTAGAACTTCTTGTCCTCAGAAAAGCCACACCAAATTAAATCAGGAGAAAAGAAACTTTTAAAAGGAACCAAGAACCAAAACAACCACAGCAGCAGCAGCAACAAAAGGGATGGGGGAAATGAGACCTTGAGAAGATGTAGGGACCTATCTCTCTGTGTGGTGCTTCAAGGAACAAGGCAAAGCAACCTCATAAAACAGTTCTATGCCAAGAGAATTATAGATGCTGCACTTGAGCTAAAACCCACAAGGGAGCTCCTTAAATGCCACAAAGGTGTGGGGCATTTAATCTTTTGCTAGTATATTTCCAGCTCTCTCAATTCAGGTGTGTGTTCAAAAGAGCCTACAATTTCTTCAGGTCATGTCAGTTTCATGACAGACAACTGAGACCTGAAAGCAAAACACTGCAAGGGAAAAGTGCTTAGTGAAGGTACTCTATATGTTAACTTCACCCCATGCTTCCTCTCTCCTGTTTTCTTCTCCCCTATGCCCTCGACTTACAGTCAGTCAAATTTGACCTACAGTTTGATGTGGGACCCCACAGTCGCACTGAGGGGAGGATGCTATGCTGCTCGGCACTGACACAATGGCAAATAATTAATCAAAGAGTCAATCCATCCAGATGTGAGCACTGATGACACTCACCAAGGTTTCTTATTTGAGGTTCCCATGCAGATGTGCTGGGCAGGAACGGTTTTCCATCTCTTTGCTTCCACAACCAGAGATTCTGCATCTACCAGGCCAAATCCATACAAATGGCTAACTGGAAAGAAAAGTGTCTCAGAGTCACTGGTTTATTGAGAAAAAAAGAACAGTTATTTTTCACAATTTTGTAAAGAAAGGATTTCATCTACAAATAGTTCTTTTTGATCCTTTGTGATCCTAATTTTTCATATCATTCTGGTTTCAAGGTTTTTCTTTCTTCCCCACATTTATTTGTGCGGTAGCTCAACCTCCGACAAGTCATCTTGTTAAAAAAAATTAAGGAAAAAAACCATCCTCAACATTTAATATGCAACCCGAACCCTTCGGATGTTAATGTATTACAATTCCAGCATCCTCAGGTAGTCTGGCCAATGGAAATATAGTTCAACAATATCCAAAGGGTCTCAGATTTGCCACCTCTAGACAAAACAAATTGAACTGATCATATGATAGCAAGAGAAGTTCAAAAATGAACAAAATGAGGAATTCAATAGAAAGGAATATATGTAGCCCTGAACTGAACTATGCAAGTCCTTGGTGTTTGCTCTCTCTCTCTCTCTTCTTTTCCTCTCCTCTCTCCTTCCCTCTCCCCCATCTCTCCCTCTCTTCCTCTCCTCTCTCCATCCTTCTCTAACCCCTCTCTCTGTC